TTTAAGTGCATTAAAGCGGATATATTTTGAAAAACCTTCAAAAAACCTGATTTTGTGAAAAAAATAAAACTAAGTGATGCAAAGTTTTTTTCTTTAATATATATATATATATTTTTTTTTTTACGCAACATCAAATTAGGTAATGTTATGCCTTTTTTTGCAAATCAGCAGAATACAGGGCTGTTTAATGAAAAAGAGAATTGTCTATTTTGATTGCATGGTGGCTTTAACACTACCAAAAAAACAAACAAACAATAACCCATTAACCTATAGTGGTCATTATGTGAACTGTTTATGACTAATAATAACACATTGCAATTTGGATGTTTTTAAGTAATGTTGTTGGTTTTTTTCTACAGACTTTTTTGTGTGTGGTGATTATAAAGGGAACATGTGGTTCAATCAGCCTCCTAATCTGTCCACCTGGACTCAAAGAAGACCGGCAAGTATCTTCATATTCTCTCATTAATATAATGATCATAATTATGTCAATCATGCAGTCATGCGATGCTGATAAATTGTTTGTGTGACTGGTCTGTAGGCACACACAGACAAAGTGAGTGTACTGCGGCTTACAGAGAGCCTCATCATCTCAGCGTCTCATGACAGAACCGTCAAACTGTGGGACAGACGAACTAAGAAACAGGTATTTTTATTCTTGCTTTTATGCACGGTGTGTATATCAGTGTCTATTTAATTTCCTTTCTGTTTCTTACTCATTTTCTGTATTTCACAGGTGGGCATGTTTGTGTGTGGAGGCCCTGTCAAGGTTCTGGAGGTGAACCCATGTAACCCCAAGAAATTTGTTTGCAGTGATACGCAGGGTCAGCTGTACTTCCTGTTTTGGAAAGGTTGATTTCCTGAACATCAGTCAAAGGACACAGTCACTTGTTGCATGCCATTATTTGTACATTGTACATTTGTACATGCATTGCACATATCGAGTCATCAGATATGTAAATATAGTTGCGCAGGAAAAAATCCTTACACATTTTTCAGGAATCATTCTAACAATGATTTGGTGCTCAAGAAATATTCTGTATTATTATTATCACATTTGAAAACAGTTGTGCTGTTTAATATTCTTGTGGGG